AGTTTGAGCCAGAAAAGGAATGCATTAGACACCCTTTCAGAAAAGAAACGATGAAGGCGCTGGGAGGGACGTCACCAAACGAACTGGAGCTACAAAGATAGGAGCGAAAGCACGTGCATAGCAACATGACTTCAAGCTGATAGCACCAGTTACAGGAACGAAGGTGTAAGAACTGAAAGGAAAACGTGCCAACTAAATGTTGAGAAGGAAGAGCACTGCACAAACCCGTAGTTTGCGAGTCAAAACACGCACAACAGAAACAATGTATTGAATAGGGAGATTCATGCTGACGTAATTGTTTTTTGCTCATTTGCATACGGCTTTGCGTACAGAAGGAAACGTGTAAGATATGAATTGACTCCAGGCAGCTCAAGAGCCAGTGAAACTTAATACATAGTGAAATTTTTAGCTGTTTGGGTGTAATATTCAAGGAGATATTGTCTTTAGAAAACTGCAAAATTTCTGGGTGGCAAAAGCGCTAATGAGCTCATACATTCTTTGTAAAAGTTTGAGTTTTTAAACCGTGTTGCACAAAAAGTATTCAATATATCACGCTCATATTCATTGGCAGAGTTGTAGGGCTGTAGGATCCGTGAGATGGTCTCAGAAGTGCCCTTAATGTAAGGTATAGTCACTGTAGTAACAGGTGTTGGGTTCCTGTTCGTTGCGTCNGTTTGAGCCAGAAAAGGAATCCATTAGACACCCTTTCAGAAAAGAAACGATGAAGGCGCTGGGAGGGACATCACCAAACGAACTGGAGCTACAAAGATAGGAGCGAAACCACGTGCACAATAACATGACTTCAAGCTGATAGCACAAGTTACAAGGACGAAGGTGTAAGAACTGAAAGGAAAACGTGCCAACTAAATGTTGAGAAGGAAGAGCACTGCACAAACCCGTAGTTTGCGAGTCAAAGCACGCACAACAGAAACAACGTATTGAATAGGGGGATTCATGCTGACGTAACTGTTTACATTTTTGCTCTTTTGCATACGGCTTTGCGTACAGAAGGAAACGTGTAAGATATGAATTGACTCCAGGCAGCTAAAAAGCTAGTGAAACTTAATACATAGTGAAATGTTTAGCTATTTGGTTGTAATATTCAAGGAGATATTGTCTTTCAAAAACTGCAAAATTTCTGGGTTGCAAAAGCGCTAATGAGCTCATACATTCTTTGTAAAAGTTTGAGTTCGTAAAACCGTGTTGCACAAAAAGTATTCAGTATATCACGCTCATATTCATTGGCAGAGTTGTAGGGCTGTAGGATCCGTGAGATAGTCTCAGAAGTGCCCTTAATGTAAGGTATAGTCACTGTAGTAACGGGTGTTGGGTTCCTGTTCGTTGCGTCAGCTTCAGTAGGTCGGTAAATGTTTCGTCTAATAAAGCTAGCGTTGTGGTTGTTTTTGTGAAAAACACGTTCAAGGTATCTGTTTTCGTCACGTAAGCTGTCCAGTGTGTCACAACATCCGTGTAGCCTACAAACCTACAACTACGTTACGACACTTACTGACCAACGTTAAAGACAG